CTCAGGTCATGATCTCACGGTTTGTGGGTTCGAGCCCTGTGTTGAACAAAGAGTTGGTCATTCAACCCACTGAGCCACCCAGGTGCCCCCAAATAACTCCTCTTTGAGCAGTGACCTGTAGCCTGGGGTGGGTGGTGGGTAGGGAACCACCTGTGTTAAGAAGAGGAGGTAGAGGGGCATCTGGTTGGCTCAGTCGATTAAGCATCTGGCTTTTGACTTCAGCTCAGGTTATGATCTCACAGTTTGTGGATTCAAGCCCCACATCAGGCTCTGTACTGGCAGTGTAGAACCTGCTTGGGATTCGCTCTCTTCCTCTTTCTCTGCCCTTCCCCTCTCATGTGCTCTGTCTCTCTCTCTCTCAAAATAAATAAACTTAAAAAAGAAGAAGAAGAAGAAGAAGAGGTAGAGATTTCCAGATAAAGAACAGGTACAAAGGTCCTGGGGAATCAAGATCTCAGTGTTTGGGAGGACCTGAAAGGAGGCCTCTGTGTTGAGGAAGAAGGAAGGTGGAGGGAGAGAGGGAAGGAACAAGTTTGGAGAGTCAGGCCTGCGTTGGATCATTTAACTCAGATAAAGGGTTTGGATTTGATCTGGAGTTTAATAGTAAACCACAGAAAGAGGTGAAAGGGTGTCTTTTGGGATGGACTGGCAGCTGGACAATGACTCTGTGGGGTGGAAAGAAAAGTGAGAAGAAAGAACAGAAGAAAATCCAACATCTCTAAACTATTCCCCTCGTAGACCAGAGATACTCTAAAATCATCTAGAGTCTTCCAGTTCTAGGATGTTTTCAAAGGAAATAATTGGGCAAAAGCACAAAGAGGTGTGTGTACCAATGTGTGTCACAGCTTTATTTATAATAGAAAATAATAATCCCAGAGAAACCTAAATGTCCACTAGCAGGGAATGGCTATATCAAGTTTTGCTTAAATATATAATGGAATATATGCATCCTTTAAAAATGCTAGTGTCCAAGATACACTAAGGAAGAAAAAAGCTTTATAAAATTATATCTTTGTTTCTGAAGGGATGTTGAGGGAATAGAAAAAGACTGGAATAGATAAAATATTAATAGTAGTGTTCCTGGCTAGTAGAATTAAAATTGATTTTTGTCTTCATGGAAAAAAAACTTTTAAGCAGAAGCATAAGGTTGTTTCAGGTATGTTTTTGAAAATTACTGTTCTTGCTATGAAGACTATTGTAGAGGGGCAGAAGTGATTTCAGTGATCAAACAAGAAATGATAATGTTTGTACTTCAAAGGAGGCAGAGAAAGTACATAAATACATAAGTACATAAGTACTCAGAAAGTAGGAACAGGATTCAATATTTATTAAACATATACTGTGTTTCAGGCACTGCTCTAAGTACTACAGATACAATGGTGAATAAAGCAGATGACATCCCTTGTCCCATTCATTAAGGAAGTCTGGTGGGCAGTGGCGTGCTGGAGCTGGCTCATATGGCTCATGAGGGCTCGTTGTTGAATTTTCAGGAATTGTGACAGCTGGTTGTTGCAA